GCAGGTGTCAGCGTAGGGAAGTATGAGCACCATGTGAGGACGGCGGAGCCTCACGTGTTGTGCAAGTGCTCGCTCGGGGAGCTGGCTGATACTGGCAGTGACCGTCGGGGAGCTGCTTTTTATTGTTTCCTCTCAGTGGATTTTTGATAAAAGTGAAATTTACTGCTCTTCATCATCTAATTAAATATCAAAAGAATTGGTGTGGTTGAATTTGCTGTCCTAACAAACATTGCTGGGAGAGAACTCATAGCAGCGTGGGGGTTTAAAGAGCTGAGTGGTCACCTAAAATGCATTCATTTTTCTATGATTAATTTGAGTTTGTTGTACTTGGAATATAGAAGCTTTTGCTCCAGGATGATTTTCTAAAATCCATTTCTTTTTGCTCGGGAGCTAACATCAAGTTGTTACTGCTTTGTTCCACCTGACAGGCTTCCAAAATCTTTAGAGAAGCATGACAAAAATTTGTACTTTCTGACCAACAAGATTGCAGAGTCTCTTGGTGGAAGTGGATATGGTATAGAGAGACTTTCGGTGCCATATGTACCTCAGGTGACAGGTGAGAGGAGAAAAGCACAGTTCTTACTTTGATGATTATGTGTCAGTATTTTTCCTTTATGTGATTAGTAATAAAAGTCGATTCTTGATATGTACACTTACTATAACAGAACCATTTTCAACTGCTTTTGAAAACCTTTAGTAAATTTCTAAAGCAACTATTTTACCATAAGTCAAATACTAAAGAGTTTATTAATATATAATATATGTATAATAATGCGTGATGTCCTTTAAACAAAAAAGCAAAGTAGATATTCATTAAATGTTATATGTAACTTACAGAATGTTTACTAAGTGATTTGTGATTGAATTTGATGAATTAGGAGACTTGTCATTTGAATGAGTTATGACTGAAAGAAAAAGTACAAACTTCTGTGTAAAGAAGCCTGCAGACTTTTGCTTTGGCGTGACGTTTTGTTTTTTTTGAGATGAAATCTCACTATATTCTGGGTTCTCCTCAAGCTTGCGTGCAGTACGCCCACCTCAGCCTCCCAGTATGCTGGGATTAAGTTGTGTGACACCATGCCTGGCTCTTCAAACCTTTCAAGTCAGGATGTTTTCCTTTATAAACTGCATGGATTGTTTTGTTCTTTCCATTACTTGAAGTAATGCTGTTATGTTTGAAAGGAAAATGCATAGCTTTCATTTGATTTTTACTTTAAAAATTAAAATCAAAGACCTTATACTCCCATTTTTGGTGGATAATTACGTGAATATTAAATTCGATCTTCCTTGGTGATACTTCTGTTCCATAGGAGAGCTATTTGATTGCAGTTAGGTAATTTTCTGGATTAATCACTAAAAGTAGTACAGCCTTGATAAATACTGTTTTTTTATAAATATGTTTTTTAAAGGCATAGATGCAAAATGAATGCGTTCCTTACAGTTGTAGGAATGTAAGCTTGTAGTAGCCTGAGAGGCTAATGAAGGCTCCTTCACGGTCCTCAAATTCCGTACTGTGAAAGATTCTGTGCCTCGTGAGGTCCTGGGGAAGTAAAAATGCTAAGAATGAAGTAGAAGTAGAGCTTCAGAATTTTAAGTATTTTTAAAAAGATTTTAAAAGTGTAATTTTCTCATAATTTGGATTTAGGTCTTTTTCCTTCAGGCAAAAAAACTCATAAACGCAAGCACAAGTACAAAGGTAAATCCGGCTGTTAGTGCGGCCTGCCCTTCCCTTGCTTGCCCTCTAGGAGAATAGCTTCATCCAGTGTGCCTTCCTTAGCGGGGCCAGCAGTGTGAGTATTTTGTTTCGTTTTAAGTCATGTGGTCTGCCTTCCCCAAAGCCGTAGTTCCTTCTCATTGTTCTGCTATTTCCTTTTACCCTGTTCTGCTAGTTCTGATGAAAGTTCTGGTTCTTTCAGTAGGTGATTTGCCCTTCCTCATTTCCTAAGACAAGTGTCTTTTTCTGAAGGATCTGTCACACACTGGAAGAACTTCTGAGTGGCTCAGAATGTACTTAAATGCATGAGTGCGTAGAAACCCCTCAGTGTGAGTAAGACAGTTTTGATTTTAAACACTAGTTTAGAGCCAGGCTATGATAGTTGCGTCCTCCCATCTCTCAGGAGTCACGGAAACATGGATGCTTCGTGGGATAGTCATTTACTAAGCTTCCTTTTGTTGTCGCCATTTAAGAAATTCACGGGACTTAAAAACAGTCTAACAAAAGTGAAAACAAAACATATTTAGTTTGTTCTGTGTCACGTACCACCGGTCATTGTTGTGGGAGCCACTGCTATTTATCATGTCCTGTGTGCTTGGTGTGGGAAAAGCACTTGGAGTTTGTTTTCTTATTTTTTCCTTGTAGCAGTTCAGTGAGCAGAGTTGTATTACCTGTGTTTGCACAAGGATAATGAAGCTAATATTAAATAGTGCGATTAGATGGCATACTAGATTCAAACTTCAGTTCTTAACAAATTATTTGATTTTGCTAGCAGCTTTTCATAAGCTTGGAGATTGTTCAGGAATTCAGAATGATCCAAATTGATTATTTCATTTATTTCAAAAACTTTGAGTGTGTACTATAACCAGGCACTGTTGTGACATTAAGGGTAGTATTTTAAAGATGGTACAGTGCAGTCTCCAGTCTCAAGGAGTAAACTCCAGTGAGGCAGCCAGGTGAGTGATTGAAACACCTTGAGCCTTGGTTCTAGAGGAAGAACAGTGATCTGTAGCAAAATTTATTTAGCTACTGGTACCTGAGGTGTAGCACATGGTGTTATTCCTAGGTATACACTAAAAGTGCTATGTGTAGGTATGTACCAAATACTACTTACTTTCTGAGGAAAGCATAATAACACCTGTCTTCTGCTCATTTAGAAGTACCAGTAGCTAGGGTAAACGTATGGCTGTTTCAGTATTTTATGACTGCCTTCAGTAGACCTGCTGCTGTACAGAGGCAGAAACGTGTGGGGTAGCCAGAGGCCTCTACCTTCGCCAGGCCCCCGAAGACACTGTCTTTCTCAACAGGGTTTATCTGCACCACAAAACAGCAGATGATTATAGTGACTCGTGACCGTCTTCCCAACATAACACTTTGCCACTATTTTTCAAGATGCTTAAGAAAGAAATTCCTTTCTTGTACAACTTGAAATATATAAAAAAAAAGATACATAACCAGGCAGTTGCAAGTTTAGAATCCTCAGGTAGTACCCAGGAGACAGTTTATCCTGGTTTGATGGACCAGAGGTATGTGTCAGAGGGACAGAGTCCCAAAGCTGAGTCTGAAGCCTGCGTTAGGTAAGTGGATTTTATGTCATGTAGAAGCAGCAACATACATAAAGGACTAGGGCAGACAAGAACATTCGTTCAGACAATATGAAGTTCTGAGTGGTTTGAACTTTGAACTGTGAGGAAGCACTGAATGATTTTAATCAGAGGATGCCATTGTCAGAGTTGATTTTACAAATACTGTGGTTGTGGGGTAGCAAACTGGGAATAGTGTAACCATTGAGATTATTTAATGTAGCCCTAGGACAAATGACAGTAGCTTGTACTAAGGTGATGCCTGAGAATACAGGCAGGAAATAGGTAGATTATAGATAAATGGACAAGAAAAAAAAAAAGAGGCATTTGATTAGTGTGTAAGGACTAGAAGGTACATTTTTATTCAGCTTTCTGATGTGGGCAGTTAGTGCCAAACTGAGAGGAAAAGTAGGGTATACTTGCTACTTCATTTGCATGTTTTTGTTTTGAGGAGATGTGGGGGATATGACTTTTTAGGTAGGGAAGGAAATACACGTGCCTTTCAGCTATAACCATCCATAGTAGTTTTGAATCTGGAATCATAGAGGATGGAATTGTTATTAACAGGAACAAACAGGGGAGAGTGGCAAGTCTTAGAAATAAAAACTTTTGTTGAGTGCCTTTGATAGTGGACATCTAAACAAAGCACTCTCGAGACAGTTGAGAGTCGTGGCCGAGTTCCCTGTGTGTTACAATGTAGACCTTGAAGTCAGGATAGGGGATTTTTGCTAAAGCCTTGAAGGAAGATCACCACTCCAAAGGGAAATTGAAGCACAGAGGATAGAATACCTTTTGAAAACTCTTTTCCTTAGGGAGATACTGTTAAGAGCTTTAAAACCCACAGTTCAAAAGGCCCAGAATGTAAAAGAACAAAGTAACTTATTCTAATGGTAATGATTTACTCTCTAAGATAGTGAAGTGGTGCTGCAGCATGGATGCTTGGGAGATTGGGACATGGGAAAATAGGTGGAAAAGAGGCTTCAGAAAACTTTGAAAAAAGGGAAAGCTGCCTTGTTGAGTTGGTAAGCTTCAGGAAAGCTGAGGTTTGGTGAAGGCCTTCCTTTGGTTTCTCCCAGAAGGTGAACTGACAGCCTGCTGTGAGAACAGGAGCCAGCTGGGCATCGCTGTAACCTCTTCTAAATTTTCATCTACCCCGCCGAGGAGCCTGGTCTGTGCGGAGTTCTCGCCCTCACGTAGTTCTGTGTTAGCTGTTGCTTAGTAAAGCACTCAGTTTGTAAAAGAGGGGTAAGGGGAACATTATCTTTGAAAGACTACAGAGACTAGGTTGAAGGTTCCTTGAGTGCTTTTTGAGAATTACCCTCCATGCTGCAGGCTGAAGGTGCTAGCGCTGCTCAGTTTTGCTCACTCACTCTACCAAGGATGGAGTGAGTCTCTAATGTGCATTGGGACATGCAGAGTAGCTTTTCAAAATGTAACAGTGATCATTGAGTGTCTTTCTTACATCCTGTACTTGTCCACTTTACTATTTGTGTAATTTTGTTTTACTTTCCATCTTCCTATTAGACTGTAAGCTCTGTGAGGATGTAGACTATGTCTTCAGCTTACTTTCTACTCAATAGTATGATTTGGCGAATATTGAATACTAAAGTAGAAAAGTAAAAGTAGAAAAGAATATATGGAGGGAGAGTTTAATCAATAAATTCAAATCTCTGAAGTGGTTAATCAGAAAATGGGCTAGAAATAGCTATGGAACTGAATGTTTTTAGCAGCAGAGAGTGATTGGGAGTAAGATTAATTGCAGGACTTTAGTGGATTTAATAATGAAAAATCAGAGCATTTGGTTCAGATTATTGCCAACAAGTTTGCAAAAGTAGGTTAGCCAGAGTACTAAGGTAGAACAAGAACGTTTTTACAGAGTGATTATAAAGCAAGAGAACAAAATCAAATGGCCATTAACAATTAGAAATGATAGAGGAAATATTAATTAAATCAAATTCTTTCAAATCCCCAAATTTTAAGCATTGTAAACACTGGTTTATTCATTGGTTTCCAAACTACCACCATGGAACAAAAGTTGGCAGCTTTCATTGTTTGTGGAAAAATCAGAGCTACAAAGGCAGCATTGTGCATGGTTTTTTTTGTTTTTTTTTTTTTTTTTTTTTTTTTTGCAAAACCAGGGATTAATTTTAGCTAAATGCTTTTTTCTTTTGGGATGA